CCCCCCAGTGGCGCACCTGCCGCCGTGGCCTATCGCAGATGTCAGGAGGAGAGTAAAACAAAAGAGAGGGGGTGAGGGTGTAGCTGGTTCTGTTCTCGGTAAACACGCAAGTAGTGTGCGGAGGAAGAGGTCCAGAAAGTTGCGACCGCATTCCACTCGACTCTCATCCTCATCATGACGTGTCGTCGTCTAAGCCACAAAACTCTCGTCTGTCTGTTCGCAGTGTGGTCGCGGGCGGGGCCGCCCCCCGCGCCGCCTGCCCCGCCTGCCCCCGGGCGGGAGGCGGACCCTTCGCACTGCTCGGGCCTCGACGGGGACTCCGGCCCTGACGCGCCCGACCCCCTGCCCCTGGCCGGGTAGCCGGCGAGCAGCAGCCGCCCCACAACACGCACAACCTTGCTCAATGTGTGACTACCGACGGACAAGACGACCTGTAGCACCACCGACTGACACTGGCACTGCCGCGCGATATCTGTGATAGCCGAAGACAATTTTACTCCTAAATAATTTTTACTGTAAAGAAAACGAAAACGAAACAAACAGGACGACGATAAGCCGCTCGCGACCGCGGCGGCGTCGACGACAACAACAATCGAACGAGTATACGAGTAGCGAGCACCGAGACGGTCGACGACGCGCTGACACGACGACGGCGACGCCACGGGGTCTGCGGTCGTTGGCCGAGGCCACGCCCAAGGCCACGCGCAAGGCCACGCTCAAGGCCACGCCGAGGGCAGCCGGGCGTACCATGCTGTACCGGGGCGCGGACCAACGCACTACACTGCTAGTGCCGCCCTCCCTGGCCAACAGCACCTGCGGAGCCGTCAGGTGAGTGACAGCAGCAGCAGCCGGGTCTAGAGGTCGTCATGTCCCATGAGAAATGCCGTAGAGCATAGGATCACTCTAAAAATTCAACAGTGTAAATTTTAAAAAAAGAAAAGAAGTTTTGATTGTAACGTGATGATCATTCAAAACGGTTCATATTTCAAACGATTTTCATTGCAGCTTGCAAAGAATTTTGAAGCATCATTACAAACTAGTTCTTGCTTGCAAACTATTTCTTTGCAATACGTACGCACAGTTGGCAAGGAATCTGACATCTTGCAAAGAATTTCTTTGCAAATTTTTAGATCAAAAATACTTCGCAACGCTGCAAAGAAAATAGTTTGCAAGCATTTTTGCAGTGCAGGTCAGGCAGCAGGCACTCGACCTCGTACTCGACCGTACCTTTTGCTCGATGCCCCGGCTGCCTGGCCTGCTATGGTGAGTGAAAGTCAAGACGCGCGGGAGGACGCAGTCACCCGTGCAAGAAAGTAATCGGTGTCATTAACACGGCCGCTCGCAGAAGGGCTCCTCCACCGGCCGCGCGACGCCCTCGATAGCGTCGGTGAAGGTCAAGAAGCAGAACTCGAAATTACCAGTGCCTGCCTGCCGCCCACCCCCTTCGCTCTCATCTCCTACCCGGCTATAAGAAGAGATCTCTTATCCGAGCATTCAACCTCGTGCTCGCCGTGAGCCGTGAGCCGCGTTTCGTCGTTAGAAGGTAGTGCTTATTTCAGCATGTTCTAGTGTTTGTAATGATTTTCTGCTTTGACACTTTGTTTATTCCCATTCCATATGCGTTCTCAGGAAAAATAACTGTGTCGCTCACGTTCAAGAATATTTTCTTTTATTTCGTCATTTCGCGATTTGCCCTGATTCGCCCTACTTTTCGGGCTAAGAGGAAAAGACGCCGCGCTGTTGGCACAAAGTAAACAGAAATTACCCTGGGTCGAAGATGCGCGCTAATTCTCTGGGAGTTGAGCTAACAAGAGCCAAGGCCAACTTAAACTGTGTCAAAATGATATTTGTAAATTAACAATATTTTTCGTAAATTTGATGTATAACTGAATGCGGGTGGTTGTCTTTAACACGTCCCGTTTAGGGGGTCGGGCGACTGAGCGCCGAACGCCTACCTGCTGAACATTTGTGATTTGCGGTGTATGTAGTCTCTAGAAGCCTCGCTCTCCCTGTATTTTTCTTTCTGTCTATTTTCTCTATTTCCTCTGTATTTCTCAGCATTTCTCCCGTCATGATATTTTTTTGTGGCGTCACGTCAGCGCGCTCCTCACTGACACCGTGCCGCACCGTTCCTGCTGTTTGCGTTTCCGAATTGAAAAGAGATTTCGTCATCTTCTTTTTTTCGCTCATTGTATATTGGCATCGCCAAGTCGTGGAATGAGGAAGGATTTAGTCCCGGACCTCGTTTCAATTTAGGTTTGGGGTTCATCGCTGCGAGAGAAAGATAGCAAAAAATAAAAGGGTCGATTTACACCCCGTGGCGATGTGGGCACCCCCACAGCCCACACCACGCGCTGAGCCAAGGGAAAAGAGAGAGAGAAAGAGAGAGAGAGAGAGAGAGAGAGAGAGAGAGAGAGAGAGAGAGAAGGGGGGTAGCTGTGGGGCGAGGGAGAGAAAATCTGTGGACTGAGGCAGACAGAGGTGGCGGGGGCCTGTGTCGGGTCAGAGAAGGATCAAGTATGGTCTCTTTTCTGAGCCGCACTGCCGCCGCCGCCGATGTGAAGCCAGTGTGGGGTCGCCCGCCCTGCCCCGCCCACCCGCCTGCCCGCTCAGTCAGTCAAATGAAAAGGACGGGAGCTATATGAGGCGGCTGATGGGTAGAGTGGATTTGGCGAGGGGTGGGGGGTGCGGGGGGATCCTCTGGGACTCCCGCGCCAGTTTCCAGTGGTCTCTCTAGTATAGACTCTAGCGGGGAACTTGGCCACAACTCTGTCTCTCTGCCTCTCTCCCTCTCTCGGTATGTCTCCCCTCCCTCCCCTCTCTCACCGAGCTTCTCACGGCACCATTGAGGTTAGGCGTGACTTCAGACGCTGCTGGTTTTCAGGTACTCGTCTAGCGCCGCCGCCAGCGCCGCAGCCGGCGTTTCGTTCGGGGACTTAGCCCAGGCCGCCATCATCCTCCTGCTCTCGCTGGGGGTCGTCGGCGCCAACCTCATGCTCGTGCTCGTCATCAACAGCCGCCGCTACTCCAAGTACATCCACGAGCAGGTGGGTACACACACTAAGAAGGTTCTGCGCTCCGAACAGTGCGCTTCAAGAGGAAGCGGGATCCGGCGATGGCCGAGTACTCCACGCACGGCCCATGTCATTTTTTTTCGCCCGCTTCGCGCTCAGTGAAAGCAGATAGCGGTCGGCAGGAGATAAGGCGCAAACCCCCGCCCTGCGCTGCTACAGCCCCCCGGCCCCCCGGCCCCCCCGGGCCAAGCCTCACGACAATGTGCCTGGCAGTAGCCCAGCCAGCCCGCCCAGCGGGCCCGGCGGCCTAGCAGCGTTGGGATGGCAGTGGGGGCGGTGAGGAAAGTGGCGTCTATACGCCCCCTCCCTCCTCCCCCCTTACTCCCCCAGGTCCCGACCAACCCCCAGCAGTCCGTGGAGGCTACCCCCCCGTTCGGACGAGACTGAATGCGATGGGGTCTCATTTCATATTTAAATAAATTGGGCCAGTGGCCCCGAGTGGGCCCGCGAGGGCGATCAGGCCCACCCCTCTCGCCGCGCTGCAGCGGCGTCGTAAGACCTTCGGTGGTACCCGCCGCGATCGGGGTGGGGCCGGGACTCAGCGCCAAGTGGAAGCCGGGCCAAAAAAAAGGTTCAACCGTTAAAAAAAAAAAACTGCGTTTTTGTTCCAGCCACGCTACCTGCTGACCTCGCTGGCCAGCAACGACTTGGCCATTGGACTATTGGTCACTCCCTTCGCCCTCGTGCCTTCCGTCAACCACTGCTGGCCCTTCGGGGAGATCGCCTGTCAGATACAAGTGAGTTCATGTTTAAATTTTTTTTCAAGCATCACTGACAATTTTTACAATAGTAGCTGTTGGGATTTTCTTAGCCATCGCCAGCAGTTTTAGCCACCGCGTGTCGAAAAGCAAGAACACCGACACGTGAGGGAGGAAAGAACGCTTAACGTTGAAGGGAGAAACCGAGAGGAACACAAGAACAACTCAAGAAGGAACGGAAGTAGGGGAAGTAAAACCGTGAAGGGGTAGTCGTAGTAGTATGGGCTAACGGGAGAGTAAGGAGATCTCCGCTCCGGCCGGCCCGTCAAACAGCGCAGTGTTGCGGGCCGGCCCACCCCGCCCCGGTCAGGCGCCGCGCCGCTCGGCTCGGCTGCGGAGCGGCGTGGCGTAGCGTAGCGTTAGCGTGCGCCGGGGGGCCGCTGTACTCTGTAAAGCGGCGACAGGTATTGTTGCAGAGTATTTATCGCTGGGTCGGGGGCTCGTTCATTACTTATTTGCAGTCGTCGTTGTAGTCTCCCCTCTCTCTCGCCTCTCCGAGTGTACCGGCCGCGTTTCAGACGAGGCAAGGGGGGAAAGGTGGTGGGAGGGTGTTACAAAAAGAGACAGAAGGAGAGAAGGGTGGCAACTGGAGCTTTTCTCTCTTAAACAAGACACTACACCTGTTGCATCCAGGACGACTTGGTAAATACTGGATGACAATTCCCCCGAAACTCCGAAACTCCCCACCAAAACCGTGCTCCGCGTCGTGTGTGCTAATTTAAACGTGTCCCAGATTTGGTGTTATGGGGGGGGGGTGTTAGTAATGTGTCACTTGCTATTGCTGGCTCGTCATCGAACTGACAGTCGAGACGCCCTGCGCGTCGTCGTCGCCGATGTCCTCCTCCTGCTCCTCGACCCGCAGCCCACGACCCCTCACGCCCTCCGACACTCTCTCTTCTGTAGCGAGGAAACGGAATTTCATTGGGGGGACCAGCGAGGGGGACCTGCCATGGAGCGTTTGCCGCACCCGTGCCCGGCACTTCATTCGAAGGAAAAGTAAGTTAAGGGTTGAGAGGAGGGGGAGGGGGGTGGTATCTATGTGGGAACTGGGGCGAGAACCCTACCAGTGCGCTAGGAGCCGGAGGCACTGGTAGTTTCACACGTTAACATGTTGAATTCCAAAGCATAACTCAATGTGTGGCCGTACAGACCCCCTCTCTCTTTCTTATGTGGTTATTCTGTACCGTAGGCAGGGGTATGAGCGGGTAGCAGGTTGGGTAGCACTTGCAGCCAGGGTTACTAGGCTGAGAACCATCTTGCTCGCTTTGGTGCACAATACAAGCGCTATGGCCGAGGCTACCGCGCGCGCTGAGCGGCCCATTGTGAGATACGGTGTGTTTTTCGTGTTTTTGCCCGCCTTGCTTGGAAATCAAACAATATGTTTTAAGTGCTGTCTGGTGTCGGGCGTCTACACCGTCGTGTTACTCCAACTTTTCTTTTCGCCCTGCTAACACAAACGAATTATTGAAAAGGGAGGGCCTCCCCTCAATTACCCCGTTAGTGGTCTTACACTTATTCACGTGACAAAAAATTTCACATATTTCCGAAACGTTTGGATTCTATATTTGACTTCGCAGCATAATCTTTCCCGCGCAAGTTACGAGTTTCATTTACTTCAGCGTCAGCAACGTCACGCATCCGGGAGCAAGTCCGCGTTGGG